GGATTTATTGATTTATTTACTGTATATTGCTGCTGCCACACCGATCTAGAATAAACATGCAATTTATTTCCCAGCTGTTTACCTTCATAGACATAACCGACTGTTTTTGTAACTCATGTGTGTTTTTAACTTAAACTTGTGTGTGAATGAGAACTTAGTTTAGTACTCACATGCTGTGTGGTGGCCGCTTTCTGTCCGTGTGCTTTGGATATGTGCGCTCAGAAAACCGTATATAATAAGTTTAAACTCATATGGTTTAAAATGCATGATTTCCGCGCAATAAACATGATAATCAGAACCAAAACAAATGTTTTTTGCAGGTCCGAGCTGTAAAGGCCCAGCTCTATTCTGGAAAAGGGAGTGGGGAGCAGCAGCTCATTTGCATTTAAAGAGCCAGGCCCGAAACAAAGTGACGAAACGCGCTGTGTAGAGCAGTTTGTCCGTTTAGGGCTACTGTAGAAACATGGTGGCGACTTCCATGTAAGGGGACCCGTGGTGTATGTAGATATAAATTGCTCAATCTAAGGTAATAAAAACATAACGGTTCATTAAGTAAGGTCTTTATACACCTCTGAAAACATAGTTATGTATATTATATTGCATTTCTGTCAATAGATCGATGTAAATATTACACATTGCACCTTTAAGGATTTAGATTTTCATTTAATATAAAATGCCTGTAGCTAAAACCAATTTAATGAATGCAGAAAACTGATTTTATTTAATATAATTCTAAAGTGATTCTTATTTTACTTGAAAATTTCCTTGTAGTTAAGACTTCAGGTAAACTCTGTTCTCAATGTCCATTGAAACATTGAAGCAGCAGCAGGGGGCGCCATGACACTTTATCATTCTCAATCCAGTCTCTTCGCTCTAGAACATGAGAACTGGTCTCCACCACATCTTTGGCTCATGTTATTGGCATTGAGATAAATTAAGACTTACTGATCCCTGGAGGTGATGTATATGTAAAGATGTGTTGTTGTATCTGTAGGCTGGTTGTGATGGCGAGAGCATCGGAAACTGTCCTTTCTCCCAACGACTCTTCATGATCCTCTGGCTCAAAGGTGTGGTCTTTAACGTCACCACTGTCGACCTGAAGAGGTGAGAACTTCACTGATCTGAGATTAAATGGCATGAAACTTGAATAAGTATATCAATAACAAATGTCACATCTTCATGTTATTAAATGACATTTCCATTGGATATTAAAATGGAAAAACCTAAAAAGAAAAAAAAGTTACATGCCGTCAGTTCTAGGTTATGGAACAGTGATATTGTTAAAATATGATCAATTTTGCATGTCAAAGCAGGAAAATATAGTTCAGACTTTCTTTGCAAATAAGAAAATGAAAACGAATCTAATCTAATCTAATATCTACATTTTTTATGCAGTGCAATGCTGGGCTGGTTTAAAATTAAAATTCTTAAAATCAGAAGTTCATAAAATGTTCTTTTCTTTTAATTCAGGAAACCAGCTGATTTGCACAATTTGGCTCCAGGCACTCACCCTCCTTTCCTGACCTTCAACGGTGAGTTGAAGACAGACATTAACAAGATCGAGGAGTTTCTGGAGGAGGTTTTGGCACCACCAAAGTAAGCAAATTTTTACAAATACCCTTGAGACGAATCGTGACTGTATAGAAACTCTAAACCTGCTGTTCTCAACTGGTTTTGCTTCAGAACCCAGATTTTACATTGGACATCAATCATGGTCAAACACAGCACCAAAACTGTTTAGCAACTAAACAACATTTCAAATCTATTAATATTACTAATAATGTAATATCTAGCATCACAGCCTGTGCAAATTAAATGGAGAGGTTATCAAAATGATTTATTTTGCATTTATCTTTTATTTCTTTATTTGCATTTAGCATATTTTTTTCTATGGCCTTTGAGAACAGGTCTACAGCCCATTTTTGGGTCAAAACCCACCAGTTAAGAACCGCAACCCTAGACTTTTTACGCAGTGTATATTGTATTAAACATCACATTAAACCACTGTGAACTAGAACTGTAAAGAATACTGACACATGTTTTTCTATGTACCTTTCCTTGTGTCCAAGGTACCCCAAACTTGCAGCCAGGCACAGGGAGTCAAACACAGCTGGGAATGACATATTTGCAAAGTTCTCAGCTTTCATAAAAAACACTAAGCCAGATGTGAATGAAGGTATGCATGTCAAACCGGATCAATCTGATCGAATGAATGGATTTATTGTATTTTGGTCAGTACAATGAAACTGGGCAAAGTTAAATTCAGTTAACTCTGTATGAAATCCGTAGTACTATAAACATCCTACATATTTTAGCATTGAATGTATGAGAACTGTTCTTTTTTTTCCTTTTTTTAGATTGGTTACGTTTTCAGTAGGGATGTGCTGATACAGACATTTTGGCTGATGCGATTTTTAAATATTATATTTTTGTTGTGGTTGATAACCTATGATGACTGAAATTTATTTGGAGTTTCGCCAGATTTTAAACAACGTACACATGGAACTTGGTACAGACAAAGAAAATGCTTTTTTAATAATAATAATAATAATAATAATAAATACATGCATAGGAATATTTAATATTTAAACTACCATTCAAAAGTTTAAATGTTTTTTAATGAAAATAATGCTGTTATTCAGCAAGATGCATTAAATTGATCAAAAGTGACAGTAAAGACATTTATAATGTTACAAAAGATATACATTTCAAGTAAGTGCTATTCTTTTGAATTTTATTCA